AATAGCCAGATTACAGGTAGCTGTAAGAATTCTGGCAGGATCATGTCCTTGGTCCCTCTTTTGGATACATACCAGCTGGTAGTTACAGCTCTGACTGTATGGAAAGGCTAGTGAGTGCGGATAGTCAGAACACATTCAGTTTCAACCCCTAGGTTAGTGTCAGGAGCTTGCGTTGCCTTCTCTACTGAGGCATCAGCCAGCAAGACAGACTTCTGAGGCTCATTCATTTTGGACATTTCACTCTGGTCTGCCATGAAGCAGATTCAGTTTGTCAATGCAAGCCTAGCAGAGATGTGATTCCCTGGATGTGATAGATCTTTCACTCCTCAACATGCTGTGGATGCACTCCTGCAACCCTGCTTCCTGCCCAGCACTCCCCTGTGCACTATATGCATGTGGTGCTGGCCCCCGTGTGGAGAAGGGCTAACTCTGGGGCTAAGCTCTCCTCAAGTTCTTCAGGCCATGTGCAGGGAACTCACAGTTCTCCCACATTAGGTTCTTGTTCCCTCACAACCTACCTTTCTCCCTTTACTCAATTTCTGAGCCCACCAGGCAAAGCAATTTTTTAATCTTCATCCCATTTCCCCACAAACGTGCAAGCCAAAACCATGCCAGCTGCTCCTACCTCTCTTGAACTGACTGACAATTCCTCAGGCACGGGAGCTGACTGTGATCAGACTCTGGGAATGCTTTGCAGTATACTCTTTCTGCATGGCAGAAGAAAAAGCATTTTAATGCCACCATATATTGGGACTGAGTGTATCACTGGAAGCAATCCAGCTTCTCTTGACCACAATTTATAATTTAATTTATAGATAAAGGAAATTTGGAAAATTCCCTTTTAAGGGGACTAAATACATGAAAAAATTAGGAAGTTTTATTTTGCCAAAATAATTTCTGGCTAATAGCACACTATATCTTTTTTTCTAGTTTGAATCCTCCTTTTCCTTCCCTGTCACTGCTTTTATGGCCTTCTTCCCTTACTCTCTATTTCCCTTGAGAGCTCCAGGCTATTAACCTGTAATTTTGTATCCTTACTCGGTGTCACCTAGCATTGATGTGGAATGTGGAGCAGTTTAGCTGTTCATTCAGATCTGTGTGGTGAAAAGACTGGCCAGCTGGCATCCACATCACCACACTTCAACCAGCTCTGCAGCTGCATCTCCTTTATTAAGACCCTTTCCATCTGCCAGATTTTATTTGTCAAATGATGGATTTACTTGCATTACTCTAGTGTGAGAAAGACAAAAGGAAGGGTAAAAATAGGCTTAAATCCCATGTAAAGAAGTCATGAGACAAGTCATGTGCCCAGTACATTAGTCAGTCCCACAGTGTGTGGATTGAGCCTTCTGATTAGATTCAGAAGTGATTTTGGCACTTCATAAATTGCACTATGTGCTATTTAAAATATAGAAAAACAAGCCTAGAGGACTTGTCTCACATATGTCCATGCCTTACAGCAATTGCATTATTTAACAAATAATTGCACATATAACAACAAAGGAAAGTAAAAAATTCACTTGTAATGACCAAGAGACAGGTCAAAGGAGATTTAGAATTTTGAGAGGAACTGTTATGCTAAGCTAAGAAGCCAGGCCAAAGAGCTGCAAGCAGCCGTGGCACCTGACTCTGTTGTGTACAAGCAGAGCCTGAGAGCAGCAGGTTAAGAAAACCCTGTCCCCATGTCATGCCTGTCCTTCTGGGCAATGAAGAGCTCAAACACGATCTGGTCTCCAAAAATGGTGAGTTCCAACATCTCTTACGGGCATTAGGGGCAGCTGGGTGGAGTGTCCTGGAAGCTGGTACTGTCAAGTCCTCTAATGATTCATTTTATTTTTTCCAAGCTGCTCCCAGATGGCAGCTCCATCTCTGGCCACTGGCACCCTGGATCCCTGTTCGCCACCCTTCCTCTCATTGCTGCCTGGCCTAAGGGCATAAGCCTTCTCAACTGGTGATCAGCCAGGTGCAACCACAGTCCCTCTTAGCTGCTGCTGATTTTTCTTTGGCCATTTCTGACAATTTCTGGAGTGAGTTTTCCAGTAAGTAAACCCTGCACCTGCATCCTTCTCAGACTCATTCTCTGTGTCACCACTACCAGTGAGTTGCAGGTTCATTTGTTTTTCTCTTCTGTAAATGAAGAGTTCACAGCCACGTCCTAGATCCTGTATCTTTCTCACACTTGCACACTAAAAGCAGCTGCTTGGAGTCAAAACATCTCCAGGAGGAATGGTGCCACTTGTGAGACCTAGGTTCTTGATTTATGCTGCTTATAAACAGGAGAATCCTATGTCTTGCTTGCAGGGGCTGTCCTGGTGTTGTGAGAAAGCCCTGCAGAGCCTATGGTTGACGGTGCTGCCACACCATGCTTATGTGACCTCACCTCCACCTTCTGACTCCTAAGGGTGACATTCAGTGCCCAGAAATCCCATCGTTCTGGGATCCAGGCAGCTCACAGTAACTGAGAATAGCTATGGTTTTGGCTGTGGACCTTCCCCCTTCCTCTCCCAGATTTATCAAAGAGTCATGCCAGGCTGCTGCTAAGTGTTCTTGTCTCCTTTAAGTTCATATTCCAGTTTGTACAATTTCGTGATAAAGTCAGACTGTGGCAGTTACAGTGTTAAACGAGATGAAGATAGGAATGTATTCACCTTTTTAATCTGGAACAGTTCATACTTCCCTACTGCCAAATTCCCAGTATGTTCAGTAATAAAGTGTGGCTTGTAAACATGTCAGCACTTAATGGGGCCTTGAATCAAGTACTCACTCATTTCACCAACTGCTGTTAGTGCCAAAAGTGTGTCCGTGCTTATTATTTTACATCTTTTTTACCGATAACTTTGTGACTTTTCCTAAGGTGCCAAAACCAAAACTGTAACAGAAGAGGCTGTCTGATAAAGGTTGAGCATAACTAATTCATACACTTAGAAATATTCCCATTTCCCCAAGAATAGGATAATTTTAGTGGCTTTATTCCCTTAAGTTCTACATAGACCTCTCAAATAGACCAGTCATTAGAGACCGTGGAAGGATTATATTGGAAAAAGAACAAAATACCACAAAATCTAGTGAAAGGCTTGACCCTGAAGTGGATGACCATTGTCAGCTTTGATTTTATTGCCAAAGTTTGTAAATATTTTTCTAGTGTAGGCCAAACAACTGTGGCTATTTGGCCACAGTTTCTTGCTTGTTTGTAGCACCAGCTAACATTTTTCTCTGATTTCAGTCAGATTATTCTGATGTAGGTTGGTTGATCTTTTCTTAGGTCTTTCCTTTTAAGGAACAGGCTGGTTTTAAATGACCCAGTTATGAGCTCTTAATGTTGCAGATCCTTCCTCTGGAGAACATCTTCCATTCTCTGACTAGAAACCAATGATGGATTGGTTACTGCAATAGCAGATGGGAGACCACAGTCCAGTGTTTTGCCAGAGACATCTGTGGGATTTGAGACAAGTCTCTGCTTCTATGGTCTGTGGTGTTTTATAAATGCAGATTTGAAAAAGAGTTGTAGGATTATTATTTATGTACATTATATCACCATCTCAGATCCTAGCTGTGGACCCTCATTGTGCTAATTACTGATGGGAGAGATGGGTCTTAATGTCTTCACAAACAGCTCGATGTGAAAGAACCGATTAGGTTCTGGAAGAATGGGGGATTTTAGGAGAAATGGGTGTTTATGTCTTAGAAACGGGTCTTAATGTCTTCATGAATATGAAGCTGCATTTTTTGCAGAATCCAGATAATTTGAGATTCTAAACTTTTGGGCAATGTGTAGTAGGTAGTTTGGGAAGTCTGTACCTTCCTAATACCTCAGCTAATGGGAGAAGGAAGAGGGCAATGTGCAGCCAGGAGTTCAGAATAAAAGGAGGCTGCGTCTTCCAAAAGCTTGAGAGAGACCCCATGGGGGTATGGCCTAGTGGACTCTATCCCTTTACTCGAATAAAGATGAAAGGTTCCTCTGTCTCTTTTGTGGACACTGGCTTTTCACAGTGGGATTTTTCTACACATCACCAAGTGTTTCATTTAATTATGACCCATGAGATGGCACCTGGTCACCATCAAGGGGACAGTTTGGCAGCACTCATCAGTGCAAAAGGCAGGGATAACATTAATCTTAACTTCGTTGCAGGTGCCCATGTTAGAGTTTGGAAGAAGACTACTGAGATTATACTTCAGAAATGTGTATTTGGTGTAAGAAAGCTGTTGTGCACTCAGCTCAATCTGTTTGCCTTTGGATGTTGAAAACATTTGATTGTGGAGCGAAGCAAACATTGAAATTCTGGACTTCAACCAGGACTTCACTTTTCATATGCAACTGTCTGGTTTCAGCATGTGATGGATCTCAATTTGCAAAAGCCAGAGTACTCACAGCCAGGTGAGGACTCATTTTGGAAACCTCTGATGACCTCCCGGCAGCACCGAGTGAGGGCACACTCCTGCTCCGCTGTCTCCCCCGCCCCATCGCCACTGCCGCATACAGGTTGTGCTTTTGCAAAACCTTGGCTATTATCAGTGGTGTTCGAAAAGCCTGCGTAACATCTGGAGCAAATGGTGGCTTCCCAGGAAAAAAAAAAAATCATGGAAATTGTCCTGTTTGCATTTCTGGAGAACAGGGGGTGAAAATTTTTGTTTGAAACTACAAATTTCAGGGTGGCGGGGCGATAACGCAGCCCTCACTCAGCGCAGGGTCACAGCACGGCTGTCGGGCCCCTCCGCAGTCCCTGAGTCCCGGCCGCGCTCCTGCCCTACACCGAGGCAGGCAGGGCCCCACCCCGGCCGGGGCCGTCCCACCACGGGCCGCGGCCTCCCGGGAGCGGGCGGCCCTGGAGCGGCGCTCGGGGAGGCGCAGGCCCGAGCCGGCTGCGAGTCCCGGGAGCCCGACGCGGTGAGTGCCTGGGCACGCCGGGCTCCGACGAGCCAGCGCCGTGAGGCCGTAGCTGAGGCGGGGCCGGCGCGGCGGCGGGGCCGGGCTGGGGGCGGTGGAGGCCGGGCCGGGCGGCATGATCGGCACCGTGCTCTGCTATGTGCTGCTGCCGGCGGCGCGGCTCCTCCAGGCCCTCCGAGGTAACCCGGCCCTGGGCGGGCGGTGGGGCGGGCAGGGGGAGCTGGCGGGGGTGGCTCGGAGGAGCGGGGATGTCCCGTCGCCCCGGCCTGAGGGGGGTGCGGCCCGGCGGCCGGGGTCGGCCCGGCTGCCCCAGAGCTCCCCGAGGCCCTGGGCAGGTGGGGCCTGGGGCTCCTGGCCGGGCCGGGGCTGCTGGCCCCGGGCAGCGCGAGGAGCTGCGTGTTTGGAGGGAACAGCTGCCGGCTGTTGTGCTGCAGAGGCAGACTGCGCTTTGCGCAAGGGCTCTAGCTCCTGCCCCTAGTCTGCTCTCCAGGCTTGGGGAGATCCTTGCAGATGGGCTGCTCAGATATCTATGATCCCCCAAGGATCTGCGGGTGACTTCGTGGATGGACTTATATTTTATGTGCATCTCTATTTCACTTAGTTTCCCTATCACAGTCCCTACTTACTGAGCTCATGTAAAGCCACCCTCCAGCCTGAACCTGTCCCTGGGCCTGTAGCAGCTACTGGACTGGCACGCTGTCTTTTTTCATAGTGGAGCAGCAAGCTTATTCCTCTCAAATTCAGCTCCTACTGTGTATTAACAGGCTCTTGTAGGCACTTATCGTGCCTGGCCAGTGGCGTGTGGAAACATTACCTTGGTGTGCTGGTGTCTGTGACATTAATGAATTTAATTACAAACCGACAGAGAGAAGTATGGTTCCTAAAGCTCCTTTTCTGACACATACAGAAAACTTTGACACAAAAGATACAGTGAAACTATACATGGATGTTGCTGACTCCTGTATGTTACTGCTGTGGCTGACTGACAGGGATGCAGAGAAAAAAAGTGATTTGTAATCAACAGAAGTTTCTCATTAACAGTAGGGATGAGTGTCTGTGCAGAATTCATAGCAAAACATAAATGCCATCTTGTGTATAGATGCAAGTGAAAGGAGATGTCTTTTTCTACTTTAACACACAAAATATTAATATATTTAATGTTACATTAAAAGCAGTTTAAAGTGGTTTTATTTTTTTGCCATGTCAGTCATCAGGTGATCTGTAATTCTTACCAGGACTACTTCTGTGCATATACTCTCTCTAATAAGGCATATGTTGGCCCCTCTGTGGCTTTGTTTTTCATCTCTTAGTTACAGAATGGTTTTTCTTCTACAACACATTCGTGTGATATATTTTATTTTGTTAGCTGACCTGTATTTCTTAGTCAGTCCCTGGAAAGAAACTTGCTCCAAGTGATGATCTAGAAGACCGTGGCTTCTCAGTCCATGCATCTGATCAGCTAACCTTTAGAGACTGTGCCTTTACATATGTTGCTGAGAGCTGATAGTTTCCACAAGGCCTTTCAGCTTGGCTGTCTATAGTGCTGCCTGAGTTAGAATTGCATTCCCTAGATTTGATAAAGCCATTTCTATAGTATGCAATTTCAGTGACTTGGATTAGTGTAACTGAACTTGGATTGTGGTTTAGCATTCTGGAGGAGGCAGGGGAAGTTATTTAGACTGTAACTGCTTTTTCTCAGAGAAGTAATTTGTTTGGGTTGCTGTACTGAATGGGTGTATTGTACAGCAAATGCATTGGAATAAGAAAAGAATGAGTAAGAAAGCATTTCTAGCTCTCTTATTTTGATTTTGTTTTTAAATGACAGATGCTTTCTCTGCCTGTCAAAAGAATGTGCTTCTGGCAAAGAGCCCATCCACCCAGATAGAAGGTGTCTTTGCTGCAACCACAGGAAGATCAGTCCCAGAAGAGCAAGAAGCCCTTCTCCAGCAGTGGCTGGAAGAAGAAGTAGGGAATTTGCCAGCCAATGAGAGTGTTCCAGCAGCAAGGAAAGTATCAGTTACACTCACTAGTGCTTGGTTAGAAGGTTCAGAGCTATTGATGACCAGCCTCAGTGACCTGAATACATCTCCAGAAGTCGCCCAGTGTGCTGATCAGCAGCTCTCGGAGCTAAACACCTTGGCTTCTTCAGAATTGCAAGATCATGCAGTGGCTGAACTGGCAAGATTACCAGCAGAGGAAACAGTGACTGTAGCAGGCAGTGCTCCTTGGGCAGCTGTGGTGCCACAGACAGATCACCAGACAGCTGGCTGTGATGGTATCAATGTGGAAGTGCTGAATGATGACCCAGCTGTGCTGGCCTGGAGTTTAGCATGTGATGGAGAGACAGTGCCACCAGTGCTCCCAGCCCAGTCCATTCAGGATGCGGTGCCATTTTATCCTGTCCCAACAGAGGTGCCCTACCATGGTCAGTGATGGCTCTGAATCTAATGTTTAGTTTGGGGTTGGCATTTGTAGTGAATGTGTCTGGGCTTGCTGTCAGTAAGACATTGATTGTTCCTGTGGAGTTGACAGGATCTGCTGGTGAAAACTGTAAAGTGAGGTTTTGCTGAGGAGGGGCTGGTCACAGCTAGTGGTTTCTGTGCTGTTAGACTATGGTCTGAATATCAATGCATGTTCCTTATTGTTCTCAAATGCTGTCTTTGTACTCTAAAAAGCACACAAAAAGTGTGTCTGGTGTTTCAGTATGCTTGACTCTGGTCATGTGTTGTGCCATCCCTACAGACAACTATCCAAAGATATCCAGATGCAGCATCTGAAAACCAGAGTGGATGAGGGTTTGCTCAGAGGCTAGAGTGCCCTAGCTTAGGGAACGAGAATTTTCTGGGTCTCAGGAGAAACAAAGTATCAACAAGGTACCCAGTGTGGATGTAACTTTGCTTTTTGTCTCCTAATATAGAGATCTTATGGAGAGATTGGGAGGATCTTTCTGTCCAGCCCTGTGTCTTAGAACAGGTCTCAAAAAACACTTCTCTCTTTGAGTTTCGAGTCATGTCTTACAACATCCTTGCCCAGGACCTGGTGGAGCAGGGCCTTGATCTCTATATACACTGTCATCCAGACATCCTGAGCTGGAGCTACCGCCTTCCAAACCTTTTGCAGGAGATCCAGCATTGGGATCCTGATGTAAGTATGACTGAGCCCTCTCTATATCAGTGTCACCAGAATTTGAATTCCTTGTTTGATCTAACGGTATTAAGAAAAGAAAAAGACGGAGGCAAGTCCTAGGAAGATACTACCTGCTTGGTAACTGGACACTGATTGCTCTGAGAGTGTTTGAGGACTTTCACAGCCTGTGTTTTTGGTGTGTGTCTTGCTTTGATTGTCGAAACTAGTCATACTTTGATAGCAAGGCTTAATTTCTATAAACAGCAGAAGTAGAGGAAGAAGGATCAGTTTTCTAAGGCAGCACAGGAGGGGACACCTGCATAGAAGAGGACTTCATGAATTTCTCTATTCTTTGAGTCCTCTTTGTGGGATGAAGGATCTTTTATCTCATCACCGGAAAACTGAATGATACGCTGATGTGACCCAGAAAGTTAGTGCTTTTCATCTGAAAAGTACAGGACAGAATTGACATTTCTATTTGTAGGATTGGTATGTGAGTGCGCTTTTCCACTTTCTTCTCCTTAACAAGGTAACTAGCAAATACTTGTGGAGCAAGTGATGTCTCTGCCTTCCTTCCAGGTTCTATGTCTCCAGGAAGTGCAAGAGAACCATTACTGGGAGCAACTGGAACCAACATTCAAGGAGATGGGTATGTCCTGCTTTTGTGGGTCTGTACATCCAGCTCATGGGACTGGCCAAGCAGTGCTTCCTGCTTAACATTTTCAAAGTACTCAGTTTCAAGAGACCTCTTCCTATTTGCTAGGTGGCTGCTGGCCCTTCTGAACTATCTGCCTAGACCTTTATCCTTTCTTTTGCGATTGATGCCTCTGAGTTGAAAGATCAGAGTAACAAAACAGAGGGCCCTAGAAGGACAAGGAGAGAGAAAATACCCCCAATGACTAATAATAAAGGGTGATTGGAACAGAATTGAGTATATTGCTGTACCCAAATGTAGTAGGAACCTTTTCTATACAGACTTGCTGAGGCTGAGGTACTGACTGGATAAACCTTTTAATAGGTGATGGTTTCTTTTCAGGCTTTGCATGCTTCTATAAACGGAGGACTGGGACGAAGACGGATGGATGTGCAGTGTGCTATAAGCACAGCAGGTTCCAGCTGATCAGTCTCAGCCCTGTAGAATACTTCCGGCCTGGCCTGGACATCCTCAATCGGGATAATGTGGGCTTGGTGCTGCTGCTACAGCCTGTGCTCCCAGAGGACCTAGGTCTGAAGGCAGTCAGTCCTTTGTGTGTGGCCAACACTCATGTGTTGTTCAATCCTCGTCGAGGAGATATCAAACTGGCTCAGGTGGCCTTGCTGCTAGCAGAGATTGACAAAATTGCAAGAACTACTGAAGGCAGCTACTATCCTGTCATTTTGTGTGGAGACCTGAACTCTGTACCTGATTCTCCACTCTACAAATTCATCCGAAATGGTGAACTTTCCTACCATGGGATGCCAGCCTGGAAGGTAGTTTCCAGCCAGAATTGGGATTGGATAACTCTTTATTGTATGTTGCTAGACAAACACATGGCTGCATTTTTTCTCTTGTGAGAAAATAGTCTTAATACTGAATTAAGTTATTCAGTGGTCTTCCCCAACGTCTCCACCAGTACAGGGGAAAGAAGCAGACAAGTGTGTGTGTTGTTTCCACCACTGCTCTTTTGGTTTCTCTTGAGGCAGACTTGTGATAATAGACCACTTAATTTCAAGTATTTTTTTCCTTTCTTATGGAGTTTTTATGCCTGGGTGACTGGAAGTGTAGGGAAATGCAACTCCACGAAGACTTACTGAAATTTTATATGGACGTTTGTTCCAAAAGAAGTTTGAAGTGGTTACTTAATGGTAGAGCCTCTTGTGATTATGCCTTACTGTGTTTCTGTGATCAAATATATGGTTGGTGTTCAAGCTAAATCGTCACTTCAATAAGATGCCTGTAAAGTATCTTGCCAGGTGACTTTTAACTAATTGTGTCTGTCCCCTGCAGTTTATTATACCTGTACCATATTCTGAATAGCTTAGTTCAAGCCTTTCTATGAGAGCATTCTCCTGTCTGGCTCTTGGCAAGCGTATATATGTACATTGTCTATGGCTTTCACATCTGCTTTATGTCACTGATGGTTGCTCTCCTTGTCTGGCTTTCTTGCAGGTGTCTGGTCAGGAAGACTTTTCCCAGCAATTGTATCCACGGAAACTGCTGGCCCCACTGTGGCCGAGCTCACTGGGTGTAACAGACAAGTGCCAGTATGTCACCCTGTGCCAGCCAAAGAAACTTGGTGAGCTCCAGTATGCACTGACATGAGTTTGCTGAGGATGGGCAGGTTGTGGACCTTGCTGTCTCTCTGAGTAGCTTGGGCATGTGCTGCATGAGGCACTTGACAAAGATTCTCTACTTCATATATGAATTAAATAAATTAAAATTAAATTAAATTAATTTTTTGCAGAACTTATTGCTGTAGCCTCATTTCTTCCATTTTCTTTCTCTAGTCAGGAGCTGAATGCTCCTCTACCAGTAAAAATTAATCTGTGCATCTCTTTCATATTCCCAGACTTATGTTTTTGTGCAGTTGTAAACTATGTTCAGCAGGCACAGCTTTCATCTACAGGTGTTTGGGGTGTGGCTTTGGATAGTATTTGCAAACCACTTAAACAAATCATTCCTAAGACCCATTACAATCATGCCTGTTCTTGCATCTGTAGAAAGGATTAAAAAAAATGGAGCCCACACAAAATAGCTTTTGTGTAGAATTTGTAGCCTGATCACCAGAAATGTTCTTCTCAGCAGACATTTCCTGGAGTTGCACACTAACTGATCTGCTTGAAAGTCCCTTGAATTTTTGATGTCTCAGAGAGGACATTCTTACTTTGTGCTGACCATGACTGTAGCATTTGAAGGATAGCAATGGCTGTGCTCATTTCTTTTATACATCTATTCTGTTCTACATGTAGGTTATTAGGTAATTTCTATTCTCATGGTATCAGAGTGCTTGGACACAAAAGCGTCTCTCAAACAAAAGAGGTCTAAGAGGCCCAAATGTCTAAAATACATGTAGGTGTTCCCTGGAGATGTGACTTTGCTGCAGTTCTTTCTTCTTTTAACTTGTACTTTTCTCTGCAGGGAGACGTGAATACAGCCGTGACTTCCTGCTGCAGTTCCGCTTTTGCGATGTTGCCTGTGAACGACCACCACAGCTGGTCCTCTTGGAAGGTGTGACAGATGCTAAACCAGGTATTAATGGGAGACTTTCCAACTTGTCACTCTCCTAGCTCAATGGAGCCTCTCCTCTGGGGGCAGACTGAGGGAGTTTGGACTGGAGAAGACTTCACTGAGGCCTCATTTCTGCCTTCCAGTACTTAAAGGGGGCTTATAAATAAAGAGGGAGAGTGACTATTTACACAGGTGCATGGTGATGGGACAAGGAGAAATGGTTTTATACTTCCTAAAATTCTTTACATAGAAGGTAGTAAGGCATTGGGCCAGGTCCCAGAGAAGTTGTGGATGCCACATCCCTGGAAAATTTTCAAGGCCAGGTTGTATGAGGCCCTGGGCAGCCTAATATGGTGGGTGACATCCTTGCCCATGGGATGGAGGGATGGAGCTAGATGATCTTTAAGGTCCCTTCCAACCCAGGCTGTTCTATAACTATGATTCTATGATTTCAAGGAAAACATGAGGTGGAGGTAATGCTACAGCTTGTTTTTCTTTGGATATTTTCCTTTAAGATGTTCGTGACTGGAAGCTATGTGCTCTTCTTGGGCAAAAAGATTCATTTGGTTTCAGGAGAAGCTTCTCAGACTTGGGATGAGCAGTCTGTTCTGGGATCTGTGTAGGTCTGGCTGGAATCTTTTTGCTCCTTTGCAGACCGCCCTGCACACTGGCCCAAGCCTGCTGCCATGGTGAAAGACCCTGAGCCCCAGCCATTCATCCCAAGGTAACTTGGTGCACCTTCAATGGCCCCAGTCTTCAAACTCAGCCTTGTTTTCCTGAGCACTGAAAATCTGGCTGATGTAAGGACTGAGGTAAATGAGAGAGTGAAAGAGAGTAAGGAGGGCTATCTGGGAGAGCTAGATTCACCCAGGATTGTCCCAGTAGCTGGGTGCTCTCTGTCAGCATTTTGTTGGTGAGATTGAGAACGAAGGGCATAGGCATATATAGGACTGGATATTGAAGACAAAGGAAATTCACAGTCTGTCTTGCTTTGATGTAAGCGGAGTGAATAGTTCTGAAAGATTTTATATGCTCATAAAGTAGGAGTAGTTTAGACAGTTGCATCAGCTTTCAGCTGTGACTGCAGTACTGAAAAGGCATAATTCTCTTTCCTCCGTTGGTAAACAGTGCCTGTTTGTGTGCAGGTGTTCAGGTGTTATTCAGCATGGCCTCAACCTGACCTCTGTCTACAGCCACTTCTTGCCACACAGGGGACGCCCGGAGGTCACAACGATGCCCATGGGGCTTGGAGCCACTGTTGATTACATTTTCTACTCAGCAGAGCCTGTGGAGAACAAGGCAGGTGAGTGCGGCAGTGCAGGGCTTGTCCTTGTGACATTGGAAGAGGACTCTGAGACAGGCCAGATGGGCAGTGCATTTCATTAAGCTGGTGGATCTACAGGATGTGTCTTTGAAATAATACACAAGGTGTACATTTGCTCATGTACCATGAGAAGACACTGTTTATTTTTGCTGTGAAAAAAATGAGGCCGCTTAGGTTCATGTTGACTTTTGAGGAAGCTAGAACAGAATAGATTCTTTTCTTCTGTATAAATATCTTACTTGTGCTCCTGGTAACAAGCAGTGCTGGGTCCTGAGTGCAAGGCTTGGACTTCTGGTTTCTCTGAGACCGCATGCTGTTCTTGGAAAGAGGTGACTCTAGTTCCCTTACAGTGGCACCTTCTCTCTGCTGCCGGAAACAGGAGTTCTGTTGATGAAAGACTGCATGTAAATGCACCCAGGAACTCTCTTGGAGCTGATTTGAGTCATGTCAGGATCAAGTTTGGGGAACATTCCTTGGGATTAGGAATGAAGAGATTAATTCCTCCTTGGGGGAGAATCTGAAGCTATTGCTAGGCCACAGTCCATAAAAGGAACTTCTCATGTAAGCAACTACCTGGTGAATTTAGTGTATTCTTGCTTCCTATCCCTGCAAGTATATGAAACCATAAACAGCAGCATTGTAGGATGCTCACTGCTTTCACATCCAGGCTCAAAGGTGCATGTAGTGTTTGTGCAGACTGTCTTCATTTATCAGGGGAAGAACAGTAAAGGATTGACAGGCATCCCTCTGTGAGTGTGTAGAGTTAATCTGTGGTGCCAGTCTCTGGCTGATGTTTCATTCCATTTTCTTTGTCAGGTCGCAGGCTGTACAAGGATGGAGCCCTGAAGCTGCTTGGCCGTCTTTCTCTTCTCTCTGAAGATGTCCTCTTGATGGCAAATGGCTTACCAAATCCTTTTTGCTCGTCTGATCATCTCTGCCTGCTGGCTAGCTTTGGTTTGGAGGTCTCCAGCCTCAGAGAGAGTTAGTGTTGGTTCCCTTTCCCTAAAGAAAAGCTATTCTGAATACAGCAGTTGAGACTCTGGATTGCACAGCCTGCTTGCAAGAAAACCCTTTTCCTTGTCATGCCCTAAAAGTCCTTTTCTCACCTCACACCCTCACTAAAAACAGCGATGGGAGAGTTGCATTGGTATTTTCTGCATCTCTGCAAACGTGAACTCTGTTCCTAGTGGGCTGCCAGGTGTATTCAGGCATTAGCATCTCTTAAAGAGATCTTTGTTTCACTGCCTTGTTTAGCAGGTGTTTTTGTGCTGCAGGAACTAACATAACTCCCATGTTTGTCCCTGTGTGAGATTTTCAAGGAGCTGGAAAAGAGAGGGGCAGTGCTTTCTGCTTTTGATTAGTTTAATTGCTACCAAAGAGCATGGGATATATATGCCAATACTCTTTCACACCAAAACAATAGTTCTTTTAATTTCTCAGTAATAGTTCAGTACTTTCAGGGCTAGTTGTTGCTTTGCCTTTTAGATTGGATCTGCTAACTGCTTAGAAATGTCTTTTACTTAATGGTCTGTAAGGGCTTGCTGACAGAAGGGTTTGTGTGGTGTAACAGTTTCTACAAGAAACTGCTTGCTGTGACTAATGGACCAGGGAATGGGATTGCTAGGAATGGAGCCAGGGGTTCTACAGAGCCACCCACAGCAGCTCTAGAACTGTAGCAAAAGACTAGAGGCCTTGGGGAAGTCTTCTTTCCTTACTGGCAGTCTCAGAATGGTACCTAATTTGTCATTTTTAGCAAAAATATTTAGGATCGTCCCAGTGAATATCCTGCGGAAATAATTGTCCTGTAAGGCATGACAACCCCAGAAGGCTATAACTGTGGTTGTCCCAAAAGAGAGATGAAAATGGAAGGCATGTGAGAGTCAGCAGAGCCATCAGATGGAAGAGCTGTTCTTGTCACTTGCCCTGTTCTTTTCTCTGTGCACTCCCTATTGCATTCAGCCTGCCAGGGGTCACTAGCCAACCTGTAGCATTCATCCATCTCTTGCGCCAAACTGAAGGCCATGCTGCATCCTTCTGGACCCAGCCATGTTTAGGTGTAGATAGAACCCTTAGGATCAACTCCTGTCTCTTGACATGGGTTGGGAGGAAGGGGAAGGCTATGTAACTTAGAGCTAGACTGCAGTCACTTGGATCCCAGCGTACCTCTGGTGTCCTATTGGTGTGCTTTTGTTAGCAGTGGCTTGGCCAGTACAAAAGCAGTCGAGCTGCTTTTGTAAATTCCCCAGTTCCCGAGTAAATTCCCCAGTTCAGCCTGACATTTGGTGCTCAGTTTTTCCTTAAGAGATGAAACCAGTATTGGCAGAAACATTATCAATCTTCTGTTCACAAACAAGGCAGGAAATCCGATCCCAGCTCAGATTTTTGCAGGAAGGTACAGGAGACTTGGAACTTTGTTTATTCTTCATGGTCTATATTGAGGGACTTTGATATTTTAAATGTTACTTTCTTTATTGAAAAATAAAATTCTGCTAATCTAAAAAAATACCACAAAGTACTTGTGACACCTTGTATTTCTGGCAGCTGTACCTCGGAAGACTTCTGGACAAGGCTTTGCTGGCTGCAAGGTGAAAGAGGGCAAATTGGCTACACAAGAAAGTAATGAGGGTTGAAGAGAGGGAAGAAGTCAGCCTAGATTAATCTCCCAAGACATTCCTAAATCCCAGGTGTCTTCTTTGGCATTGGGCTTGTCTTGCCCCCTCCATTTTCCACTTCCCCCCTCCCCCCGCCCCGCAAAAGAAAGATTTGCCTTCAGGAACTCTTGCTCTCCTCCTTAAGAAAGCAATACTGGTGATCTTTTACAGATTTACAGATCACTTCTGTAAACTTCAAAAACAAGGTGGAGGGGGAGTTGTGTTCTGTGCCCTTCTGAGTGTGTAAGGACTGCATATTCCCCTCTTGCCCTGCCAGATGGTGTGGTATTTGTCTGGTGATGTGTGGGTGGCTTTTGCTACCTTTTGTGAGTTTCTGTAAGTGAACAGCAGTCTTGGGGGGTGTGAATTATTTTCCTCTTAGGTAATAGTTCTGGCATGGCACTGATACATGGGAGGGATGGATGCAGAGGTGTGCAATTATATGACTGTTTATCTCAATTTCTTCAAGTACTCTTACTCTGATTTTGTAAGTGGTTATATTTATAAAGTGGAGGAAGGAAAGGGTGAACTGAGAGCTTTGCTTTCTATCTGGCTCAAAAAGAGGTTGCCAGAAGGCAGCCTGGTTGCAGATGACTCCCTCCTGCTGTTAACATTGTAATAGGAACCTTAGAAGACTTAGAAGAAGGTTTAACAACTACCAGACAAAAGCACCACAAAAAATTCAGTGACACATGGTGTTGGCACTTGGAACTTTAGCTATCTCTTTCTATTGTAATTGCTGGCTGAGTCTGAGGTCAGTTGGTGAGGAGGTGTGTATATGTGTGTGTGTGTTTGTGTGTATGTGTGTGTGTGTGTGTGTGTATGTGTGTGTGAAAGCTGCCCATAAGAGACCCATAGGGTGTGCACCACACACCAGCAGATGAACTGGTTGCCCCTGCACCACCTGAAGCATCCTGCCAGTCTTGTGATGTAACTCACGTGGGGGACCTGTGTTCCAGTATCACAAGTGCTTTTTCCATTTTATGTAAACCAAAACCTTGACATGTGGGCAAATTGCATGGAAGCATCTCAGGGAGGTTCCAGCTATACTTTGCTAGAAATGTAATGTTGCACAGGTCAAACTAATGCTTTCCCTTTCCATGCATGAAATAATACAGTATGCACTTGGAATTGTTAAGTTTTTGAAGACTGGATATGGAGTTACGTGCAGAAACCCCAGGACAATGCTTACAAGTACCCTTACTCTTCCTTCTGGAGGTTATGGTGCTCCCAGGGTGACTTGTAGTTCTCAAAGCCCTGGCTTACACATGCTTTGTTGGGCACTCATAAGTGAAACTATGGCAGAAATGCAGGACCATTGCTAGTGACTGCATAGAGACACAAAGGCAGAGTTGAAGACTTATCTCTGTGTTTATCTCTTGTATGGACTCTTATGGTCTGTTTCAGGAAAATAAAAACCCCTGTGTTCTAGAACAGTTTGGAGTTAATATCACATGGTTCTGGAGACTTGTGAATGCCTCTTGACTGTGTGGGATTATAGGAGAGGTTTGGAGGTGGGGTGGGTAAAAAGTTCCTAACTAAAATAGCAACTAGCATATAGTTGTTGGGAGAAAATAATGTGTTTTGTGATGCTTTAAGAATAGTACCCACAGATAAAATCAGAGCCTGTGGTAATGAGCATTGTAATGGGATGCAGAACTGAGATTCCAGATGTAGCTCTTAGAAATGTTTCTGGACCTAAATGCACGATGAGTTGTCATTAACACAGGTTTCTGATGAATTACAGAGGGGTCTGTAAATGTATCTGCAATGCTCAGAAGGGGAAGGTGTCACAGAGGTAACTAACAGCTACATCACCTTAGTAGTGATGTGGAGTCCAGTGAGACTGGTGCTTAGGGGAAGTGATGCCAGAGACCACTGGCAGTGTGCTTATGTTTCCTGGTAGCAACCTCCTAAGCTGCAGGAGCATGCAGCTGTAGTGGCAATCAAGTATTTGACAAAGTATCTTTCCTAAGAAACAGCTTTATTTGCACCACAGCTGCTAGGCTGTATTTAGTTATGCTGTTTAGATAGAAGTTGGACTTCATCTTCTCAGTTTTAAGTTTGTTGCTTCAGGAGGTTGCCCTTCATAATCAGTTTTTCCAATTACATGGGATGGGAGGAGTGGTAAACAATAGAATTGTTCTAGCTTCTTTCCTGTTCTTAATAAATGAAACTTGGCTGCTGTTTGAGGTCTTCTTTCTCCATGCCTTTTTCTTATGAGCTCTCTCTCCAGCAGCTGTTTTCCCATGACTGAGTTACTGATGTTTATTTTTTCTGCAGCTGTATTTCTTCAGTTAAAAGTTATGGGTGCAATTCTCTAGGGCCAAGTTTTATTATAAATGTAACATTTAAATGGTGTCAAGATGTAAGATAGTGTGTTTCCTCACCCCTGAAGAATTAAGTGGGAGGAGTGGGAGCTCTGAAACTAGCACTTAGATGGGAGTAACACTTGTTATATAAAACAAAAATCCCAAGTTTCAGATTTATTGTTAGTGCTCTGTACACCACCTGCTTCGTGAAGGCAGAACTCGGAAGTATACTTGACCTTTGTTTCTTTAGTCTGAGGAGTCTCCAAGAGGTCGTAAGAAGTTCAGCATCTCAGCAGATCAAGGTATGAGTCCTGCTCTTAACGATGTGTTGATGATGGTGTTGGCAAAGTCTGCAAAGCAGGGTGTTGCTACAGTCAATATCTGCTCCCATTGCCACCACCTCAGTATTGAACATTTCTTGGATGCACTGTTTAGAAATTTGCATGGGTCATGCTAATGCAGATGAACCCATTTGTTGCTTACCTAAAGGGAGAGCACAAAAATGTTAGTGGGATACCATCTCCTTTCAGGCTTCCTGTTGTGCAGACTAATTGAATTGCTGGCTGTGACCTGCGTCTTACCAGACTGTAGCTGCCTGGCCTGTAGTGCTTCCCATAGCACTGTCATGCTGAAATGCATGTGCTGAATTGAATATACTGCATTGTGTTTCTAAGTATGATACTGAGTTTCTGAAGAGAACTCACCTGTTACAATGGTAACTAAAATGACAGATTTAACAGCTGCTTCTAACTCCTTTTGTCAGCTGTAAACGTTTGGCTTCTCTTGTCAAGGCAAGTTGTCCTCCAGCTTCCACTGAAAATGTCATTCTAGTCTTGAAGCTATTTTTATTTTTATTTATTTAAAAAAATATTTATTTTCTTTCAGATTTAGACTACATTTTTGTGCTCTTGTATAATAGCTGGAAAATTTTTTTATAACTTTGATAAGATAAACACAGCAGCTTTCAAGGTCCAAGTTTGGGAAAGGGGAGAAACACTAGGCTAGACACTGGCTTGTACTACAACAAAATATGTATTTGTTCCATCCAGTCTTTAATTTATACACACAAAATAAAAGCCCCAAAACTTGGCTTCAAGCTTTAGCAATTTTATTCAGTTTTTTGTTCTTTTCTTTCTGGATTCAAAGCCTTCTACTTATATTTATTATATAAAGTCAGTTATTGGCCAGTGTCTGGAGCTGCTCTTGAACTGGGAGTAGATCAATGCAGCAGTTATTCTATAATTATTCCTCTCCTCCTTTTCTCTCTTAAAATGAGGTTACAGATAGGATGGCACTCACTCTTTGCCAAAATAAAAATATAATCCAGGAAAGCAAACCTGGCTGAGTTAACTTAATTCTGTAATGGCCTGCTATCCACAGCATGTCATATGCCTTTGCCTGCCATAATCCTGCAGTCTCTGCATGGATGGTGCTCTTAAGGCTGTCTCACTCTCATGAATGAATTTCTGTGTGCTTTTAGACATGTGAGTACCTTAAGTCTTGGGCCTCTCGGTGTAAAAACTGACAGGGGTTTGTTTGTTTGTTGTTTTTGTTTTCTGCTTCAACATGTTGTTTATCCTTCCCACAATAAAGATTTTCCACTTAAAGTCCAAGGAGCATAATCTCTAACTCACTTGAAAACGTAAAAGTGCAGGAACAACCAGTGGCAGGGGAAAAGCCTGATGTAAGAAGGAGCAGAAAGTCTGTGGCTACATCACTGTTTCGCTGTTCTCACTCCACTGTCTAGCAATCACTCTGATCTATACATCCATAGGGGATAGAGGAGTTACCTGATTTAAAGCAAAATCTGTAAGACATGGACCAGAGAGTGTTTTCAAGCAAGCATCTGAAATTGATATTTAGAACTGTGAAATTACTTTCCCTCAGGGCAGAAGCTGTTCATATAATTAACTTGGCTAATATGGACTATTGCATGTGCCTTTCTCTTTGGAGTAGTCAGAGAATGTTTATTCCTTTCCTATACACACTGTAGGCTTGCCTACATCCTGGCCTTGGTCCCAGCTATGACTCATTTCCCTAGAGAGAAGGGCTATGTTATGCCTGAAAGATGATAGCCTGAATAAAGTTGGATCCCCTTGCTGGGGATCCTTGCACTGAATCTTGCAGCTGACTGTCCTTTATTAATCCAGCATTCGTCTTGAGAAGTTCTGGTGAGGTCATTAGTCTGGAAGGTCACTAAACACAGACTTTGAACAGAATTGCTTTTCAGGCCAGGGAGACTGAATTGTACATTGAAGAGTTGAGCAGTGCAAGAAGAGGTTTGTATTAACCCTTACAGTATTGTTTATTACAGTATTGTAAGACTGAAATTTTTGATGCTGCCTGCACTGATTTTTTTTTTTCCATCCAGCCTGATTGATAGCAATTCAAGAGGAAAATGTGAATTCTGACCTTTGCTAAACAGCCACATATGTACTTACTTACTCTGCTAACTGCCTCTGTGTGCACAGACATACTAACCTGTTCACATGATTAAAGGAGGATGAGGGTTCTTCCATGTCCATTAGTGTTAGCAAGTAAAAGACATCTTTACATAATTTGCCTGATACCACCACTCAAGGCCGTCCCTTTGACTTCTCAGCTGACATGTAATGGGAAGGTTTAGAGCAGAAAGAAGGACAGTAGAGACAGCTTGTTTTCTCTGCACAAGCTGAGAGCAGTACAGAGGGAATTTTATTGTCTTAAGTGTCCAAGGAAGCAGGAAGAAGTATCAACATGAGGGCCATGGGAAGTGCAGTAAAAACTAAATCTAAATAAAAATTCTGTGTTGGCTACATAAGAAACAGAACCACACTGATTAATTACAAAAACACACACATGATACTGTTCTTAAAGAAAGAAATTTTCCATTTCTTAGTTCTGAGCTGTATCAGTGATAAAGATGTAAATGGTTTTAGAGCACCCTATCAGTGCTGGAGTAGAATACTGATGTGCATGGAAGGGGACTGCTCTGGTCCCGCTAGCACCATCTCAACCCTGACCTGGAGGGAAACTCTGCTCTGCAGAGATCATGGGGGATTCAGTAGCCTTCTGGGCCTAAACAGAGTTGCTCTTGAGCAGAAAGGGCCAGGGCACCACTGAATGAGTGTGGTTGTGATACAAGTAAACACCTGCTCAGAAGACACACAAAAATATTAAATTCCCTAAGGAGTTCAGCTTGGCTGTAGATGAGTCATCTCCACCTTGCTCTGGGAGAGCAAATATCAAGCCAGAATAGCACTTGCTTTATTAAGTAAAATTATAAATCCATAATGCAGGTCTAAATGTTGTCAGGACAACAGTGCAAGGCCACTGGAATGTGTGGTGTTATTTCAGCTACACTTGCACACACAGTATACCTGGAACACCCTCTGCCCGTATCTACTGTTCAAGCATCAGGACCACTTGAAATACTTCACTCAGAAGAAGCAGGCAGCTAAAGCAACCACCCAACGTGATTAGCCAGAGCCACTGGAGCAAGGTCAAGCCAATCTAATCCAGACTCTTGTCCTTTGGCAAACAGAAACTTCTGTTCGTTACGGTTTCTTAAACTCTGAATTTTTAAGGACAGTCATGTTCCAGTCTATACTACACCACACATGAGCCTACCTTAGGGGGCAGGCACCTGATTAAGGCTTTCACCTGAAATACTTAAGATTCATCGTGTTAAGCAGATTTGAAAACAGCAATACAGCTACTACGTGAACACATGTACAGTTCTGGAGTCATTTATTCTGATAGAAACTATGTTCTGACCCATACCCTGGCCCACAGGTAAAATAGTAACTGAAAAAAAGCACTCCACTCCCACTTAAAACACTTGCTAACACACCTTACGTTCCTAATGACTCCTTTAGCTTCTACCAGTTAAAAAAAAAAGTTAGCGTGTCACGCTGATGGACACCCAACCCTGCTCTTTAATATACAAAGTTTGTATCAGTGATGCTGTAGCACAAAGTTTTGCTCACTAATGAATCGCCCATTAAAAAATTGCAGTTGGCCAGGTATCAAGGGACTTGTCTACATAAAAGTATAAAGAGGGGCTCTTATTTCAAGGTTTGCATTACATTTAGAATAGTTTCGCCAGTAATAGGTCAGCATTTGTTGAAGTCTTTCAAAGCTCACTTCGGCTTTACGTACAATGCAGGCAGTGTCTATCCATTCCTAGTGTATGAACAAGCTTCCTTTCCAGAGTTCACAGGACTTGTACTGCAGAACAGACATCAGGTGAGACCTATTGAACACTGAAATTTACATCACAGAGCTTACATGAGCGACTCTATTAATGTTTAACATTAAAAAATTAATAGGACTCCTTGAGATCCATCTTCCTTGTTCTGCAGGCACTAAAGGAGTATGAGTTACATTGTCATTCCTCCTCTGTAGCTTTAAAGCCTGCAGAAGTGAAAAGACTTTCATCACCAGCCTTTTTTCCTTATGGTTAAAGGCAAACCAGAAACCAGAGCAAGTAGATGGGGGAGGAAAGAAGTTGAAGTGCTAAAGTTTGTCTTGCACTGTACCCTCAGGTTTCTTACAGAATAAAGCTAGATTGCATTAATCCTCTCTGTCATGGAAGAATGTGGTCTTGTTTGTTAGGAAGGAAACAAAGCTTTGTATTGAAGTGATTCATCCTGTTACCAGGATGGGGGGAGCAAGAGCAAGGGGAGAATTCTATGGTCCTTTTCCAGTTTCTTGTACCACCTGCTAAACTGGAGATACAGAAACAGTAAGGAGCAGGAATTCTACAACACAGTAGAAGGTTTGAAATAGTAACCCTAGCAGAGTGCACTTGTCTCCTCCTGTGTCCACCTTGAGAAGTTAATCAACGTTAGATACAAGCAAAGAATTAAATACTTCCTAACATACATAAGTGTGCAACTAAATCTTGAAAGAGGATGTTCTTGTCTAGCTGCAGCTGAGGATTAAGAGACCTTGAACTCTACCTGTCATTCATATCTTAAACACCCATTTCCTTTGGTTTTTTAAGCTACTGGCCTCAGTTACATCCTGCAGGAAAACACTTAATTACAAGGTCAAACAAAGCATTTTGTTTTAATCCATTCTGCCTTGGTGATCTAACACTGCTGAACACCCCTGTTGCTCTGCTCTCAAGAAAACATCATTAACTTGCAGCTGACCCCTCATTTGTCTCATTTGTTGTAAAGTCTTCCTCACACCCCACATTTCCCCTTTTCATCTAAAAAAGCTCAAGTCTGTCCAGTTATTCAGTGTTCTCTGTATTAACCTACTAATTACTCTCAAAACCTCTCCAGTTACTCTGAAATAACTAACCAATTGACTAAACAAAGTCATGGTGAAGATGCATTCTAGGCATCTTTTATAATTTTTTTAAAATTCTGGATTTCATCCTCTTTAATAAAACCTGACAGTCAGTTCTCTCTTGCTGACTGGTGCTTGTATTTTTCATATGATTCACAGTGGCATCTGAACTTTCAGTCTGGTGCATAGCAAACATTATGCAAAGGCAGTTTGTGGCTTCCAAGTGGCCCATGTTATTTTATAACTGTAGTGCCTTTACAGCTAACGTCATTGTTAGCAACCAGACACTAAATATGTTAATTTACAGCCACACAAAAATGACCAGAGGACACATTCAAATGGGTGCTTGGCTCACTGCTGCTCACAAACTTCAATTGTTGCATGTAGCTGGAATATAAGGGAGTGGACAGGTGTTGCACTGCACTGTGGAAACTGACATCCTCTTCTGGATTAACCTCTTGGCTCAGCAGCAAGTTCTGACACCTTCTTACAGATTTTCCTCCTGGCTGTACAACACAGCAGAAAACAGACTACAGAGGGAGATTGGAAGGACCGACTGCAGTGGTATGGATGTACCTTGCAAGTTACATCACAGTTAAGGATGTACAATTAGGAACCTGTAAGGCGTGAATTAAATAGCTTGCGGGTGGTGCTTTGAGGATTAACTGCTTTAACTAGGCAGAAGAGCTGATTTGTTTGGGGTTAAGAACCCATTCTCTGCCACCAAAATAGCTCTGCTTATTATGAGGATGTGGCACAGGAATACTCCAACAAAAAAACTAGTAGAGCTAAGTTACATTATGTTTCTAACAAAGAAAGGAAAGAATAAGCCTGGTTCTAACAAAATTAAATATGTGGTATTTCAGAAAGTTTAGCTCCTTGTCAGTGCTGTGATAAAACAAGACTTCTCTCCAGGATACTTCCACTTTCAGTCTCAGTTTTTGCATCCCCTAGATCTATGCATCCAAATCACTTTAAGACCATGCTGTTCTGACTTCTGGAAATCCCACTGTTCTCATGCCCAAGGCCTCAAACAGAGAGGTTTGACAACACTCCCGATTTCTGACAAGCATTACACTGCTTAATCAGCAGTACAACACTGACCAAAAGAAGCACAGGAAGTCAAGGCCACAAATGGCAGAAAGGCCCAGCCTAGCCCTTTGGGGAAGGTTATTGTAAGCGAAGCTGTTACATACTGCAGCTATCCAAAGAGCCAGAACACAAGCACAACATTGGGGTTGGGAACTGCTTTCAGGAGGCTCCAGGGTGAGCTGTCAGGAAAGCAGCCACAATTTCCTCCAGCAGAGCTTCTCACAAACAGGTGTATGTAACTCTGGCACTAACACTACAGGGACGAAGGAGCAAGAGCCTTGTGGAAAGGGAAAAACGCTTGTAAAACCTGTTCACATTATTACATCCTTCTTTAACTATTTACTCTTAAAACTCGTACCTCAGTGACTGAAGTGCCTGCCACAAGCTTTCTGAGCAGCAGCCACTAGAAGTTAATCGAGAGAAGACTGATGAAGAGACGATGTGAAGTTCAGTTTTTCCACTAGCCCCATCTGCCCCATCTCCACTGCTGGAACAATCGAGGTCTCTGTGCCTGTTTTCATGTAGCAGTGGTATAGGCATATCCTGATCCACTCAACCACCAAAGGACCTACAGCAACAGGTCACCAGCATTCCACTGTCTGCCCCTTCAGAGATAATGAAATGCTTTGAAATAGGCAGGACTAAACATACAAGATGTGTTTTTTCTGGATGAGAAGACTTTGTATGGTCAATAAATCAGGCTGAGCAAATTCAGACCTATCTCTCACAAGAGAGATGATGATAAACAAAGTGTTCATAATGACAAAACCAGGAGTTTTTGTACAAGATTCAAGGGCCATCCCATTCCAGCATCATTTCTCCAGCAGCCCTGCAGGCCTTGCAGGGGTTGAAGACTTCTGTGCAGACAGGGAAGAAGTACTGTTGACAAGAATGCTTCATCTACTTGCTGTCAAGGCAAAGATAGCAAGTCCACTGACCCCACTCACTTAGTATTCTTCCTGAAGCAAACTCCCACTATTGTACAGATTTTTTTCTTTTTTTTTCTTCTTTTTTTCTTTTTTTAAAAATACTTAAGTGAATTAGGATGGTCACCTCTCCCAGAAACAGGCAGGCGAATCCTCTGGGACCCATGGGATCCAGCACTGGGACTGGCCCACTAGTAAGTACCTGGGAAAATCAGCATTCTTTTGCTCCCACTCCCCTGTCCCATTTGTCAGAATCACTGCAGGTGGATCCAGGTCCCAACTGTGGCCAGCAAAAAGTCCGTGGAGCCAGGCACACAAGGCACAGCTCTCTTCACACCCGGATCTGGTACCCATTGAGGTCTGGCATGGCTTTGGAATCGGCAGGCTTCTTCTCACCAGATGGCCTGTGAGCAAAGAGGGTAACAACTCTTCAGAAACCCTTTTCAGTCAGGTGATGCTGCACAGAGAGATTGCAGCACAGGAAAAGGTACACAGAGCTTCAGACTGATCCTGCACTACTGAGGACAGGACTATTCTGCAGCCTCCAGTAATTCTTCCAATGATCTCAACAGAACAGAATGCAAGTTAGGAAGTAGGAGGACCACTCTGGAACTCCAGGTTATTATCAGGGGAACCCCAGGTTATTATCACGGGAACCCCAGGTTATTATCAGGAAAACAATCTTGCTGACAGCAGAATAATTTTTGGAATCTCTTTGAGGCACAGGTCTGTGAGACACCAGAGCTCAGACCCATGCATAAGATTAAAAGTCTGCTATCAACATCAGTCTTGTCTGAGCTGCCTTCCTCCTCCCTGCCAAAACAAGCAAGCAAAAAACCCAGCTGTCCCCTCAACTCCCTAAGCAATGATAAACTCATAATGGTACTGACTGGGGAAGAATACTACTGCAGGTCAAAGAAATATCCACCGTTCTAAAGAAACCCAGTAGGACACCAGAAGGATCCAAAACCAAACAGCAAGGTGGAGTCTGAGTAAAACAGATGTTCTAGATAGGTCTCCTGCCCAGCAGCCCCACTCACCGTCGGTCCCCACGGCTGTTTCGCCGATGGGGGCTGGCCTGACCTCTTTGTGGGGAGGAGACATCTTTCTTTCTGTCCTTGGTGGGAGACGGTGGTCCAGTTCCTTTCCCAATCTGCCAGAAAAATAAAATTAAGAGCTACATGAGCAAAAAAACAGTATGAGTAATAGCAAAACCCACAAAAGCTAACAATGATTTACTATATGGGAAAAAAAGACAAAAAGGCAAGGCAAGTGCATCAAAAATGCAAAAGCCAGAAAAAACAAGTTACAGTGACAGCTATGGCTCCAAGGACTGTATACAGTCCAACCTAATCACAACTGTAGCACTGCATGATCATCTATTAGGGGACTAGCCTGTATAGAGTGGGGTGGTATTCATTAGAAAGAGGCCTCAGCCTCCAATTCACTTTCTACTCCACACACCTAGGAGAGTTTTCTGTCACTTCATTCCCTCAGTACACCAGCAGCCAGGCAAGACAGTGGGTGTGGCAGTGAGTTACTCCATCCTTGCTGCTTACCTTCAGCCTCATATCACGGGCATGTCTCTCAAGCTCTTTGCGAAAGTCTTCACGGGTCAGCTTGTCTAGATCCAGGATGGAGTGCTTCCACTCAATCTGCTCCACACTGTGTGGGTCATGGGACACACAGTGGCCCAGCTTCACCTTTTTCAGAGTGTGCCAGCAGCGGCGATAGGCCTCCTCAAAGTCAAAGATGAGTTCGCTCAGTGTGCGGAAGACAGGTGCTTTGTACATAAGTTCCTCACGTCGGCTGATGCCCAGTGCCCCATAGCGGCCGCCAAAGTTCACCCCCAGCACGATGTGTCGGAAGTAGTTCCCTGAGAAGTGGGTTTTGAAGCTGATGGGAAAACGGTCCAGTGTGGTCATGTTGTTGGTGAGGTAACTGACAGCAGCCACCATTCAGGAAATAACTGGTGATGTTTCCTGACAAGACACGTCCTACCTGCTCCAGACCCTCCCAGCCTGCTCAGCAGACTTCCCCTTGATTCAGGCATCACATAGACAGGATTTATTCTCCAGGTCAAGAGACCAGCTCATTGCAGGGCGCCCTACTTTCATCTGGATTATGGGGAAAACAGACTTGGCCTCTTCAAGGAGACAGTCAACAAAGAGAAGTTAATTTTGACGCAGTTCTGTGATGCAGAAGTTGCAATGCTAGTACCTTAAGTGTACTATATTCCATAGCTCCCAAGCTGTTAACCCTGCAGCATTATTCCTCGGTTTGTTTTAATCTGTTTCTACTAGAGACTGTTTCATACACCTTCAAGATAAAAACTCACCAACCTCCACTTTTGAACCATTCACTCACCATCTCTGCCCCTCTAGGTGCATGAAGAACTTATAGCCCAAGTACCACAAACTAAACCTGGAAGGTAGCTTGGAAAGATGTGTTCTTAAAGATAACATCTAGAACTAATAAAAGTATTGCCTAAGCTAGTAAATAACATACAATGTAATTAGAAGTTGGGGAGGATCCATAAGTTATTTCAATGCAGAACACATGCAGGCAGTAAGGGAACAATGCTATCCACAAAGGATTTCCTGACCTAACTCTAGTTAGTTTTTGCTCCTCTTTAGATGTTCTTTTATCTTTTTATACAGCTGACCAGAGCAGCACCACCCTTCTTGGTGAAGGAGAAGCAACTCCGAAGGACTAGTTCTGATACTTTAGAGAATTGCTTGGATTTGGATTTCATTGGTGGGGTTTTGTGGGAGAGCTGTGGGGAGGAAAAAAAGAGGAGTGAGGGGCTTGGTGCCAATATTATCACCACCCTCAAAGCATCACAAGCAAGAGAGCAGAGCAAAAACACAAGGATGGGCAGACATGCACAACTCTAAAAGGAAAGGATACATTCCCAGGATCACAGCTTCCAGGCATTTTATTGGCAGGGCCTCTTTGGTCATTTCTTTGGCCAGGTCCATCAGCCTGCAGAGTGGGAGAAGGGAAAGATGAGGACAGTTAGAGGGCTTTTTCTGTGCAATGTGGCCAGTTCAGCCCTTTTGCAGTATATTTGTAAGGTAATTTTCCAGGAGAGAGAGTGGCCCACAGAGGATAGGGAACAGAACAAAGTATCTTCTTTAAGCAGATATTAAATCCAAACCAGGTCTCTGCCACATGCTGTTGCTGCTTCCAAGGAATTCACTTCAGTGGATTGCAGCAAAACTGCTTACTGGCTAACCTTGGTTCTCAGGGAGACCACAGCACCAATGTGTCCACAAGTAAAACCCTCAAAGGACCAAGAGCCAGCAGTGTTTGCCACACAAGGCTCAATATAATAAAGCCTTCTCTGGCATTAACCCTAGTCTGTTCAGCGAGTACCATGGAGGAGACATTGGACTGATTACAAAACAAGGCATTTAGACTCACACAAACCTATGGACTAGACCAATAGCAAGAAGCCAGTCTTGGGAGATTCTCCATATTCTCTTCAAGAGAGTCAATGAACATCAGGTGCTTATTGCCAGGAACTTCTGGGGCACAGCAGTTCCCAAAATCTGCAGTGAGGAGAATACCCTTTCTCGTTCAAAGTGTGAATCACCAAAAGCTTAGTGAGCCTAGATTCTCCAGAGGCACTCCCAGGAGCTACGAAGTCAGACCTGTAAAGATACTTGGATTTCACAAAACTTTTGTAGACCAGGACCTAATTTCAGAATCCCTCAGAAGTTCATATAGTTACATTCCAATTAGAAGCAGGCAGAATATGCACATTTTTGCAACATGTTATCCTTGGTTTACTGGATTTACTGATTCATGACAAAAAAACCCTACTCTCTTTCTTGAGGAAGACCAGACACAGCTCTGCCCAGCTATGCCCCAGGCAACAGACAATGAAGTTACCCAAAGCAGGATGCAGCTGCCATGCTGAAAGCCCCGAGTTCCACTAGACCTTGGGCAGGGGATGGAGAAAAAGCAGTGTGTATAGCAGGACTCCAACAACAAAGAAAGGATTAAATGCTGTAGAGGCTGCCAGCACTTACCCAGTCAGAGGTCTGCTCTTCTTAATCTCAAAGAATTGTGTCCCAGTGTGATTGTACCTGGAAGCAAGAAGTTAAGGCTTCGTAGCTTGGAAAGTAGAGTTTGAAGAAAACTTGTGTGAAGGACTTTCATGTTATTTACTATTCTCACAGCAAAGTCATTATTCCACAAATGTAGCAGCAACACAAGAAAATCCCTACCTCCCTTTCTTGCTTTTCTCCCATTTATAATTCCTCCTTACTTCCACTGTATTTCCTTGTCAATTCTTCTCTTTCTCATACCCATATACAGGCTTCCACTCCAATTCCCAAAGGTTCATGCTTACAGCACATGCTCTGCTCAGCTTTCCAGTTATCAGGGCAGAATAGTTTGATAAATCTCTTCCTGCTCCAATCTGCACATAATACATGAAGCAATGAAACATTCATGGTACCTTATTGTAAGAGTGACTGGGATCCAGTCCAGAGCACAACCACCCTGGATGGGTGAATGATGCCAAAAGGTTGGCCTTCTTACCTTGAATTAGGGCTGATCCAGAGCTAGATCTGTATCTCATCAGTGAGATTAGACTGTGCATATTGCTCTCCAGCACAAAAGGAATGGAGAAATCTCTTTCCCAGAACACAGCCACACAGGCAGCTCTGCATGTAAAGGGACAGCATACCACAGATGCACAAAAGTAGGGTGGCTGAGTGTTGTTTAGATAGAGAAGAATGATTGAGTAGGATGACCTGAGGTTTGCCCATCACCACAACTCACCGACACCTTAACAATGAGGTGATGCAGTTTGTAGTACATCTGACACCTGGCTGTCAGGATCTCAGATAATGTGTGTTTTTTAGTGAAATACCACTGTAAAGCCACTGACCTAGAAGAGTGGGTAGTGGGGAAAGGCCTTTGACAACATGCCCATTTGTTACATGCAGTGAACAGAAACAGAAGGTAGCTTGGGCAAAAAAGGAAAAGAAATGGAGCAGCAAAACAAAACATTATCCCAAGTCCAGCTTCCTGTTTTCAGGGAACAAGTGTCAGTTCTCCTCCAGCTACAGCAGAAGGAGCTTCCTGTTTGTCACAGGAAAAGAAAGTCCTCTTGCTCTTTCTTCACACCAGTGAGTAAAGTAACAGCAAAGGATACTGAAGCTCCCTGATGTAGCGCTGTACAGCTTCCAGGCGCTCAGGGATGGGGGTGGACGGCTGGAACACAGGCACACTTGGTATGGGAATCTGAAATGAGGAGCAGAACATAAATCACTACTTCCAAACCACTCCAGCTTCTTGCTGAACTCAGTGGCACATAGCTATAGAGAGCATGTTCCTCTGAAACCAGACCCTTTTTGCCCAAAAAGTGACCACACTAGAAACATTCCTCTATGTCCACAATGGAAACTGGGAAGGGATTCAGAATGAGGCATCACCACAGAGCTGCAAGAGAAACTACGTGAAAAGGTCCCGTCTTTATGCAATATTACATTGGACAAAATAGATAGAATTAACTGATGAGGCAAGACACAGGACAGGAAAGCTATAATCTGAGGGATCATTGCCTCATTTGAGTATTGAAATTGAAAGGCACGAAACAAAAATAAAAGAAAGAGGCAAAAACGGACAATGAGTTTTTCAATATCACCAGAGGGTGGAATAGTCCTGCAAGCAAGGGTAGAAAGGTCCTTCACTACTTCCTGGCATTTCAGATGAGTTGGCACTGACTAGGACACAGGCTTGACAGCATGACTCCCTGCCCTGCAGTGTCTGGTGTTTTGAATTACATGGTCAGAGAATGAATTCTGGATGGTCACCTTTCAGACTGTCCCATTCTGAGGCCTCAGCCTTATGGGTCCAGTTAGATTTTCCTTACCATTTTCTCTGCAGGGGATAACTGTAGTCTTGTCAGCAGCTGAGAAAATGTGTCTAAGTAAAGAGAAGGGAGCTGTCCACAGGACAAATAAAAAGAAGACACAAGTTTGGGATGACTGACAGGCTTGGAGAAACAGCCCAATGTTTTCTCTCTGAAGGATAGCTCATGCCTAGCACGCACCTTGCTATTATCAGACTGCATCTTTTCTCAGCTGTTTGGCTTTTAACATTTCAGTTCCTCCTCAGACTTCCCCCAGAGCTGGCCTATCCACAGCTATGAAATACTGAGTCAGAGCCAGTTCTTCCTTTGAGCCTTTTGCTCTGCTGTGGACAACTGCCTCTGCTGGACATGGTTTAGTAGTCAGTGGTATTTCTTAGTGTGCCCTTCACATGTATTTCTGTGGCCACTCTTTTCCATATACCTCCTTCTTCTGTCCTGTGTTGGTACAAGTGACTGGTGAACCAGATCAGGCACCTGGAGCAGAAGAAAGCTGAGCCAGCAAGCACGAGTAGTTTTCAGCCAGATCAGTTCCCTGCCCTGGCTTGCCACACGGTTGCACTCTGCTTGTGCTCCCCCACGGTACAAGGTCCAGAGACCGCTTAACCTTGAGATGGGCTGATGCTGCCTCCCCCATCCAGCAGAGGCACCGGCTGCCTCATTCGAAGGGGGCAGCACAGGCACGGTGGGAGCTGATGTGAAACTGGGTTTGTTCAGCTGCAGCAGGAGCAGGGAAGGCTCCAGAGAGTGGCACAGGAATGGAGCCATCTCTGGAAATGCATGGGCTGAGTCAGTTTGGATGCTGTGAGGTGACACACTGACTCACAGGAAATAATTTCCAGGCAGAAACAAGGAAAGAGGTAACAGTCAGGGCAGGCTGACTATTTAACTTTGTTTCATTTCTTCAGCATGGAGACTTTCATGCTTTTGAGGAGACAGACAGATTAAGTGCATGTTGACAGCACAGACTAATGATTCTGGGTAGTTCCTCCTCTCTTTACTAGTACAGACCCCCAGATCTCATTTTCCTCAACACTGAGGCAGCATAATAGCAATCAGTTCAGCAGGGGACTAGTTAATGTAGAAGAGCCTCCTGCACCTCAAGTAATTAAACTGATGAAAGTACACTGTGCTCTCTCTCAGATCTGGGCCTGCAGCCCAGACTGGGCTACAGTTTCTTTTTTGCATCAGGTCTATAGCATTTTAATAGGGCAATAGAAGCAGGAGGAGAGGAAAAAGTTCTCCATCCCTCAATTCCACACTGACAGAAGGAGAGATCCTGACAATATTTTATTCCCCAGTATCATCCACTGCACATCTCAAAAGAGCTATAAATATTAGGTAGTTTTCACAGTCCTTCAGAAAGCAGAGAAGCATTTATTTATAACACAAAAGATAGGAAATCAGATCTATTTTGACTTCCCTTTAGCTATTCTGAAAGCTGCAGAGAAAGCAAGGAAGAGAGCCCAGATTTCCCAAAGTATGTAACTTCTGCCAGGCTTAGCAGACCAAATGAACACACCCTTGATCCTTCATCACTTGTGTGGAGTAGCTGCATCACCCCACTCCTAGATTCATGCATCCTGGCAGGCTGTCTATATGCATGAGATTGGTTCTCTGCTTTTACCAAGAGGATCCTGAGAACAACCAAGATTTTCATATATTAAGAGGGCCATGCTGTATGAGAGTCAGATGGGAGCGAGGCACAGGCAAAGTTCCACCCTTACCGGTATCACAGATGTGTTCTTCTGGCCAGCCTAGTTTAGCAACAGTTTCTTTTATGGTACTAATGTGTATTCATGCACCTCCCTATTCTTCTTTCTGCAAATAACACAGGAGCAGTATCGGCCTTGGTTGAGAGCCTAACTGAAAAAAACAGATTATTTTTTATGGCTCTCTCAGTCTGAATCCATTAGATGCAACTCTCCCTGTCTTTGCTTTCATAACCATCTCATTTAAAATCCATAATTTCTTTATGAGCCAAGCACACATCACTTTGTACTTCCAACATGGACCTATTTGATGGTTCCAGCAGTTGGAAGCAAGGCAATACCCCACCCTGTTGCTGGAAAGAACACAACCTACAGGAGAGTGATACTCTCAAGCCTGCTCACTTGATGCCCATTCACCCCAAGTCTACTGGAAGGAAATGGAAACTAAAGGAGCTCTCCAAGCTCTCAGACCCCAGTGAGAGACACAGCCCCTGAAGCTGATCTGTAAACATATGTCTAATTACAGCCTCCTCCAATCATCATTTTATAGTATTTTAGTTTATTGACAGCTTTTTTGAGAGTTATTCCCCAACACCCAATGCTGGCTACGATCCATGGCCAAAATTTTGGAGTAGGTAAGTCATTGTCCCATTCCCTACACCTATAAAGGACTATTCACCCTGCAGTACATGGAGAGAACCTGGCTTCTCAAAGGAGCTAGCCTTGCAGAGTACACTTACTGCCTTGATTCTCATCTGTTGCACCAGCCTTTCAAAGAAACTTGATGGCAAGGAGACAAGTGGCGATAAGCAGCCCTCAAAGAAAAAAAATACATCCCTACAGGGGAGAAGGAGCTAAGGAAACAAAGCTCATCCATCCTTGTGGTTTCCTGAATTCCAGTAGCCTCCCAGCTGTGTGCCAGGCGAGCTTGGGAATGGGATCTCAGATGGCAGAGTGCTGTTTATAGATCTATTTTCCAGGGGTACTAACAGATGCATAAAATCCCTCAACAACCCCAAACCCAACAACCCACAAAACAAAACAGCCTAATTTCGCCTCTTATTGCAAGAGCTCAGACCACTTGAGTCCCCTAACTGTAACCCTCTTGGATGAAGACAGAACAGAGGAAGTTCTTCACATAAAACCAAAACAAGGGACTGAACACTGTATTTTCCCCCCGTCATTCACTGGAGTCTTTTTTGTCAACTTCTTTCTTCATTTCCCTCACCTTTTTTGGCCAAATCAGTCCTTATGGTTAGGAAATTAGGTAGTGTGTTTTCTGACTGATCTGAAACATGTTTTCAGCCTTCAACTAGGGTCAGGACAAAGTCAGAGGAAAGGAAGGAAATCTGAAAAGGAAGGAAAAGTCTAATGGAGTTAGAATAGGGACTCTAATCAGGACTCAGGATTTGTTCCAGTTGCTGCCACAGATGCCTATGATTCTTTACTGCACAAAGGATGTTGTATCACATGCTCCTCCAGAATTCCTCATGGAAAGCAGTATGGATTGTCTGTGCACCATATAACAGTATGTTCTTCCATCCTTCAGATTACCTTCCCAAGGAGGTAAGTCCTTGCTAAAAAAACCTGAGATGAAAAAGCTTCATCTTTTTGTATCTGAATTTCCTCTAGGAGAGTGATGGGAAGACTCTTACAACCCGCCAGTGGAGTGACATACCAAATGTTTGCAGTGTCTTTTGTTCACAGTATGACAATAAAAGGGAGAGATTTTTCTCCAGCTGAGATGCAATACAGATAGCAACAATCACAAGAATTCACATTCAAATGTTTCAGTATGGTACAAAGCCCAGTGAAATGGTCAGTGGTTTCTCTTTTCGTAGAGCTTTCTGCAGCAAGGCCAGGAACATGCTTGGAAATCACATCTGACTCTACGGCAGGAATAAGCTCTGCAAACGTTTGCTAACTCCTCTTAAAAAGCTTGGCATCAAATGTCTTTTTTGACAGACACAGTTGTGTTCCAGAATGCCTTTTGGCGTGGGAGACTGTACCCAAATTGAATTTCTTCAGGTTCAAAGGCTCACGTCCGCCTGTCTCAATCCCCCACCTCAAGTATTTGTACTCTTCTGAATTTAACTCTCCTCATCTTTTCATCATTTATCTAGTCTTTCTCTTTAGACATTGCCCATTCCCCCCTCCCCCTCTAGGCTGCTCACACATTAGCTACCTGAAGTCCGTTTTCCAGCAAGGCCGCAGGAGAAGGTGCTGCTGGCGCACCAGACAGGGCAAAGCCCCGCAGACACCCTCTCGCACTCCGAGTTAGAGCGTGGCTTAGCTTCCGGCAAGAGCAGTCCCGGGGCCCGTTTTTCCGAGGGATCGCTCCCGAGCCGGGGAGACCGGCCTCCTAAGGGGACAGGCGGGCGCCTCCTCCCAGCGGGATGCCACCGTCTCCCCTTTCCCTTCGTCCGCCCTGTGGGGGACGGTCCGCCCAGGACGCTTCTGCTGGGACCCCGCACCGCACCAGCCCCGGCATGGGGGGGGGGTCTCACCTTGGGCAGGTCGGCGGCGCCCCGGATCCTCTGCGCCACCCGGTCCCCCT